GCAGGCTTCCACGAGGCAGCCACCCCTCGTGGCTAACCCCCTCACCGTCGTTACGTTGGGGGTTTGTGCGCGCGCGCGCGCACGTCGCTTTGTACGCCGTCGTCGTTCAGCTGACTCGACGCACTCTCGCCGCGCACGAAGACGTTCCTCCAGGTGTTTCGGGACAGCTGTCGTCGGACACGCCGCGAGGTCCTCGGGACGATCGAGTGCGGTGTGACCGAGGAGTGCGATCTCGAGTGAGCGGAACGAAGACACGTTCGCGTTTCCGGTGTCCCATATCAAGTGCCGCCGAGATGCACGTCGGTGGGCTCGTTCGCTCGCGGTGCATTCCGGAGAGCCGCGCCGCCTCCTCGTAGTGCGTGCCACCAGCGAGGTGCGTCTAAGTGGTGGTGGTGTCGCGCTGCAGAATCGACGACGACGATTGCTGGCGGGGTAGCCGCGCTGTCGATTCTGTTCTTCGGTAAAGATGGTACGATCCAGTGACACGCTAATTTCGCCGACGTAGTCTCGATGGTTGTAGCGCCTTCGCTCGCGACGCCCGCCTTCCGTCGCGGGTAAATAACGCGCTCGAGTCTTCACCGTCGCGATTTACGTGAGAGCAACAATGCGCCTGGCGGACGTTTAAATCCCGGCTGCTTTTCGGACGTGTGTTTCATGCGGCTGAATCCGTGTATTAGGTCAGCTTCTTTCCTCTCACGTGAGAACAGGCCTGATACCTTAGCTTCTAGAACAACCCGCGTCGGCATTCGATTGGGCGGACAGAGGGAAGAGGAAAGAGTGGTGCGAAGGGATAGGAGAAGCGCAGCTGGGAATCAGACGAACTTCCTTGCAACGCGCTTATCGATCAAAGTTCAATCGCGTTCGGGGAAATCGGAGAAATCGCCGATGTGCGGGTTTCTGCGATCGAGTCGACCCCGATCGAGAGCGGTTGTGGTCGATTTGTTTCAATTAAACCGTGCGCACGTATCGGTGCTTCGTTGATTGCCGCGATTTGCCCCGCATATCTTACGTCGGAGCCGCTTTCTGATTCCGGATCTGCGTTTCCGCAATACGGATTGATTGAGCGCCTGACATTCGCCGAGACAATGCGAGGGGCCGAAAGTCGCGGTCAATCAATGCGCGCTTCTTCGGATTTCCGGAGCGAAATTACGCAGATTCAATCGGGAACCTCCTCCCCAAGTTCGTCCTCCGCGTAGCTTCGGATTTAGCCCCGCCGTATTTATAGACGAGTTGGCTTAACGTCGCACCTGGTGACGAGAGAAAGCCGGTCACGCTTTCATCAATGAAACATTCATGATGCATTTAGATTCGACAAATACTCGCGAATAGCGGAAGGTTCGATTTTAATCACCGGACTCGTCGGTTCAGCTCTGATCGCTGAGCTGTTATCAGCCGTCCGATGTCCGTTTTTAGGTAATATCGAGGGACGGAAATTACGGCAGTGTAGAATCTCGGTCACGACAAGCGTGACTGATTTCAAGCGCGCACGCACGAAACGAATAGTTCTCGGCGCGAAAATCGCGGCCTCCCGCGCGAGAGATCTCACGAATTCCCCCCGTAAACTAATTCCATTACCCCGACCGTGGCTGCACTTAAAGTGCATCCGATAATTTTGCGCAACGTTTAATTGAAAGGAAACGATTGCCCGTCGCGAGACGAACCGACAGAGATTTCAACGACGAAGAGAGCCGGAGAGCCCGCGAGTGTCCGCATACATTTTCTTAATTGCGCCCTAATCGACCGGTCGCGATCGGATTAACCGGCCGAGCATTTTATCGGTTTCGCCGCAACCGCCGTCGCTGTAAAAATCGATGTCGCTATCTGGCCACCCTTATCTGTACTTCGCTACCGCGATAAAACAGCTCGCGATTACTTGCCGCGTTTTTTACACAGATCCATGTACGCCTACTCGAATGTTTTAAAGGCTCGAACTGCATAATTATTTTGGGCGTTAAATCGCACGCTAACGCGATGTAAATAATGAGTACGTGCTATCGATGTCCTAAATAATGAAATTATGTGAGAGAACCTTCCGCGATCTACATAGACGCGCGTATATTATACGCGTGACGTAGTGCGTGGGCATCTACATTGTGCTGCTTGTAACAGGTGGTACAGCTCTATAGATACGGCGAGAGAAAGAGGGAGAGAGAAACAGACAGATAGAGAAAGAGACAGATAGATAGATAGAGAGAGAGAGAGAGAGAGAGAGGAAGAGAGCTGACAAGAGTGTTTCCACAATTTTGCCGAATCTCCAGCCGGCGCGAATTTTATTTGATATACAGCTCGCGAGCGCGGAATCTGTCACACTTAATTAATGCATTACGTACTCAGTATTTCATAAAGTCTCCGCATTATCGACGAATCACACGTACGACAAGAATTGCTACGCTCTGTTAACGAATTTGATAACAATCGATGCCGACGTTGTTGTGTTCTCACGTGTACAAATCGAATTCCGCTTCCACGGATACTTGTAACGATCAATGAGATTAGCGGACTTTAGATGTTATTAGCTCGCGAACGCGACTAAGTCAACGGATCGACCGGCCTTTTCAGAGTCGTAGTAAGAATAACGCGCCTCATCGGAAGGGAGCATCGCGAGACGTAGTCGAGAGTGAGAAGGATATCGCGCGGATAAACCGAGGAACGGCCGATCATGAATCACGAGAACGGCTGAGGGCAGTATGCGCGCGCTACGACAAGAGGCGGCAGAGGTGAAAGTGAAAACGACGATGAAGAAGAAAGAGTGGCGCTTCTAATTGGAGGATGAACGGATTTTTCAACTCCCTGAAAAACCTCGCGTCCGGTGGCGCGTACGCTGGCGGCTCTGCCTCGAGATACGAGGAGCTGGAAGGTGAAACGACTGGCTCCTGTAAATCTATCTCTATATTTCGCATGCTAATGTCTCCCCCGTGCGTGGCACGTGGCACTGGCGTAGTCGGGAGCCCCGTAATGCAGGACCTCCACGCGCGCGACCTACGTGAGCGCGCTAAATGTTCGTAAATTAGGTTCTCCTAAGTGACGCTCGCAACAGCACAAATTACTGCACGTCTGAACGTTATAATGTTAACTTGATATACTTTGAGAGAGAGAGAGAGAGAGAGAACTATGTGGCTCGACGCGCTTTGTTGTCAATCGCGGAACACGCGGTTATTTTCACCCTTCAAGCACACAAAGTACGCACGCCGCGTAATTAACGAGCTTATTTCGTTGCCTCATGAAGAACGTTACATGTAAATTGTTTTTCCCCGGCAAAAATATAAGATACAAAAAGTACGGGTGGAGAAAATAATATGTAACAAATAATATATATAACAAAATGAGCAAACGAGGATGCTGTTTGTTTAACGAAACGCTAACGAGAAAATCACACGCGTTTGTATCATACGCGTTTATAATTAATTGTTATTTACTTGGATTTCTGCAAAATCACGGTTTAGTACGGTGAGCACGCGCAAAATTGGAACGGATATTGCGCATTCGCCGCAATTTTCGCGCGGAAAGCGACTCGCGCGTTTCGAGTTACCGGCGCTCTCTGTCCACGCTGCGGAGTATCCATAAAATGTAGCGCACGGCGTATTTAATTTGCAGCTAACTCGACGAACGTTGTATTATCCCCACGTTACTTCGTCGTAGCGATACGATATATGACTACGTCCTTACGTGTAATTTGTAAGCCACCTCGACCATGAATTTCACGCATCGTATACTTGAGTCAGTTTTGCGGGCGGGCATGTCGAGATGCAAATTCTAACGGGGACGCGCAGGAGTTTCTGTTTATTTAGCCGCAGCAGCGCGTGGCAAATAATTGGTTTCGTCGTTACGTTCCGCAATTTCCGAGAATATACACGTGTCTAAACAAAAGACGGAGCGACGGAACATGTAACGCAATCGGCGATAATCCGCGAGTACCAGACGCGCGCGCGCGTTCGTCTCGGCAGGCGAAGCACAAATTGTTGCAAGAGCGAATTATATTTATTTCATGGGCCAGAGCTCGTTTAGCCGCCGCGCTTTATTCAGACATTAATCGAATTCCACTGTAAATCGAGCCAAGCTCGCTCACTCGTAGATGACAATAAGCGATATTGCCGTCGTCGCACCGATTCATTCGTGCAGAAATTGGATATTTTCGAGCTTCGGCGCGTTCCATGCCCAACACGTGCAGCACTCACGCCGGCGGGAATGCGCGGAAAATCGTGTTCATCCGGTATACCGCGTGTGTATGTATCCTCGGAATTTTTTTCTAATTAATTATTTCTACTCGGGCTGTCCTAACGGCGACTCACTTCGCGCGGGGTTGTCATGGAAACGATCATGCAACGACCCCTCCGTTTAATAAATGTTAAAGGCGACTGAGCCTGCTTTACTTTGCGACTTCGTCAGTCGTTCGTGCTCGATCGAACAGGTCGCACTGGCTGCTGCAACTTTGACAGTTAAGTATTCAGTCGTCGATTCGAGCCGAACGCTACGACGTTTGCGCACTCACTTCAATTAGACTTTCTCCGAGTGCCCCCGTTTAGACTTAAATCAAACAAGCGATTTTCCACGCTTCCGTCGTTCGACGGCGTCAAGTTTCCCCCTAGGAAACGTTTTCCACGTCGACTCGGTGCTAAAGAGTCGTGACTTCTGAAATTACCACGCACCGTTTATAATGCTTAAATATTTACTTATGGGAAGAAAGAACTAATTTCCACAGCTAGAAATTAGCTATCCATAATATAATATAATGCAACTGAAATTTAGTTACCGGTTTTGTTTAGTTAACAAACGTAATTTTGAGCCGCGGAAGCTAATTTTATGATTATATTCGTAGTCGGAAAAAAGAATTAACTCCTATAGCTAAAAACTAAGTCTGTTGACTAAATTTCAATTTTCATTGTATTATATGGATAACTAGTTTTTAGCTATTGGAACTTTGTTCCTTTTTTCCCGCGCTGCTACCACTACTATTCATTCAGCGTAGCGCGAAGTTTTTCTCACGGATTTCTGAATTTCAGTCGAAGACACGAAAATGAGGTTCAGTCTGACTCCACAGCCGGGGGAGAGTGGTTTCATACAATGGCTAGACGCGATGAAGATGGTCGCCAGGTTGCAAGGAGGGATACCGCCAGAATTCCGGAAAAGAGTGCGTGTCGCGCTGATTATTTGCCCGTAATAATTGCGAATAGCGACTAACAATAAAGAGAGAGAGAGAGAGTAGCTCCCGTACGTTTGCGAACGTGAACATCTATAAGTGAACGTCTGATGTTTTTCCGCAGTTGTGGCTGACGCTGGCGGAACGTCATCTGGAACAACGAGGCGTAGATTGGAAGCAGGCCGAGAAGGTCTGTTTCAACGAGTGGAGTAATCCCGACGACGAAGAGCTCGGCATACAAATCGTGAAAGTACGTGCCTACAGTATTGTCTAAATACACTCAGCCGGTAGCATTAACGTCGACGTCGACGCCAGGGCGCAAATGATTTATGCGAAGGGCCCGCGGAAGCCTTCCTCGTCCGCATACTGTAGCGAACGTTAACAAACATCAATGTCGGTCGCTCCCACACTGTGTCTCTTATTTTTATTCTCGATATTCTTCCACCTCGATTCCCCCTGCTTCCTCGCAAGAATTCAAGCTTCTTGTCGGCACAGAAACTGTGTGTGTGTGTGTATGTGTCTATGTATTTTTCTTTTGCACATCGATGACATCATCCTGTCGACATGCGCTCGCAGTTTGTCGTGCTATCTCCGAAATGAAGGGCGACCCGGTTAATTCCACGAGAACGTCTCCGGACGCTCAGCTCTCCGCGAGGAGTATTTACGGAGAGACAACGGCGCATTTACTCCGATGCATCTTGCCGTTCCTCGAGAGAAAGAGGGAAACAGGAACGGGAAAAACATCGGGGAAAGTAACTGCGCGCTGGTTCGTGACGCGTGACGCTCTAAAGGAGATGAAAGGCGAACAGCTAAAAATTAGAACCGGTGCGATTTAGATCAATGCGAACGCCGTCGTGCAAATTGGTACATGAGTCGGCCTTCTAAAAATATCCGCAATCCGATACCCATTTGGTCGCGTCCGCTTATATCAGCTTCGCGCCCGCATTTATAGAGCAAACGCTCTTAGTTCTAATTATTATTAATTACACTCAAGTAAGCCCGGTGATCGTCCATCACCGTAATGACGAGTAATTAACCCTCGACGATTGCTTTTGTAATTAATGCCCGCCCACGTGTTTTACCCTCGCGTGAAGCCTTTCCTCATTCGAGTTGACATCCGTTGCTCTCCCGTCCGTTCGTCCGTTCATTTCCACTTCTCGACGATCTCCCGGCAGACTGATTATCTGTTCGATATGATGAGAATTCAACCAATTCCGAGATAGATCATGAAAAGAACGGGACTCGTCGAAATTATATGATAAATAATTTATAGGCGATAGACAGATACGATTACACCGATCGTCTCGACAAGGCAATCTCCGGTCGGGCTCGTCGATAAAGGATGTTACAATTCGCAGGATCTGCACAGGACAGGCTGCAGCCTGTTCTGCGGGGCTGCCGGCCGCGACAATCAGGCGGTGCTCCGTCGGGTCCTGCTCGGCTTCGCCCGATGGAACAAGTCCGTCGGCTATTGCCAAGGCCTCAACGTCCTGGCCGCCTTGGTGTTGCAAGTGATGGACCGTGCGGAGTCCTCGGCCGTGAAGGTGATGATATACTTGATAGAAGGCGTCCTGCCGGAGGGCTACTTCGCCGATAATCTCCGCGGCCTGTCCGTGGACATGGCGGTGTTTCGGGATCTCTTGCGCTCGAGGCTACCGAAGTTGTCCAAGCATCTCGAGGCGCTGCAGAGCGACGCGAAGGACAAAGCGACGGGTGAGGGCGATAAAACAAATACTCGGGAGACCGGATGAGAGTAAGAAATACAGGGAGACGAGGCAAACCCCCCGGAATTACCGGAGAGATTGGGACACGCGTAGTCTCGCCGAACGTGTATCCAAACGCGGCTTCGACAGTAATAACAAAGTTCTCTTGCGTAAATATTCCCAAGACACAAAGACCCTCCTTCGAGCGGCATCCCGGTAAGAAATAGTTGAAACTGACGCGTCGATCGGTTTTCGTGCGGAAGGCGCGTGTCTAGCTGTTGTAGAGCGTATCATTTATCGCAGGGCCCGTCAATCACCGAATGATTTAATTCAATTCGACCGCGCACCGTGTCATTATCACACCTTTCTCGATCGTTATGGACGATTAGTGATCCCGCGTCGCTTTTCAGGCAGCAGCTATGAGCCGCCGCTCACGAATGTGTTCACTATGCAATGGTTCCTCACGCTCTTCTGCCACTGCTTACCGCAGGAAGCGGTGCTTCGTGTCTGGGATCTGATATTTCTCGAAGGTGATGAAGTACTCCTTAGAACGGCGCTCGCTATCTGGGAAGGCCTCTCCGAGTGAGTTCAGAATTCAAATCGAGCTCATTATTAAAATTACGCATTCGAGCCCGTAATGTTTTCGATAAGCTTGTGTGTGTGTGTGTGTGTGTTGTGTGTATGTGTGCGCGAGCGACGAGTAGATAAAGTAACAATTAATCGCTCTTGCAGTCGCATAATGACCGTGACGTCAGCGGACGAGTTCTACAGCATAATGGGAGTACTTACGCGAGAGATGCTTGAATTCACCGACACGAACAATCTCATAAAGGTTGGACATAACCGATTACAGTATATACAAAGTGGTCGGTAATGACGATGCAGCCGAGTGTCATCGGGAGATTGATTACGTTCTAAGCTTCCTTCGGAATATATCATTCTCGCGCTAAATCAATTCGTTTTGCGACGAGGAATTCGTATTATTTCCATTACCGCATTATCAGTTTACTGTTTTGCGTACTTATATAAGCAACATAATTGATTTCTTTGCGGTTGTTCACTTCGATAGAACATCGTCAGCATGGGACCTTTGCACGGTGTGACAAGTTTGAGGGAAAAGCATCGATACAATATCACACCGTGGGCGCGCAAGCTGAGTGACGACGATGACAGCGAAACGGAAGAAGATGAGAGGCTGGCTGTGGCGGCTGCCATGTTCAACATGGCCCAGCGTATAAAGAAAGGTGAATGTCGTTCGGGAAAATCCGAGAGTATCCTTGACAATGCCTAAATCAAGAGCGCGACGGCTACGTGTTCAGGATCGATTTTATATTTTCAGATCGTCTACCTGCGACAATAGGAGCGTTACAAGCGATGGCGCCCAGCAGCGATCGGGAACGCCTTGCCCTAGATATTAGCACGCTGAAGCAGCAATATGCAAAACTGCGAGAGCGGCAGCGGCAAGCGCACATAATACTTTCTGGTAATGACAAACGGATAGAAAAAGCTTCGCGTGCTCTCGTATAATTGCGTAATGTGAATTAAAAGAGAATCAATCTCTCTCTTCCACGAAAAGGAAAAAAAGAAAGTGAAGGAATGAATTATTAAAGAATTTACCCGAACGCAAGATTTAAAAAGCAAATTCAATTATCCTCAGAATTTCGAAATTTATATTTCAACACGCAGTTCCTCGTTAATTTACAATTTGTGATTATCTATTATGCAAGGATTTATTCATTTCACCGTGAGAAGGATGAATTGCCATACGATCATAAATTAGTCATATCAAGTACGGCATTATAATGCAGGCACCGTAATGCTCATGCGCATTACGGTTTTGCAACAATTTCTCCATTGTTATTGCTGTTCCGAATGATCGAAAGGTTACTGCGCGTAACATTGGCGTTCTACGGAAAATGGGGTTGCGCGTTTCCAGCGTGCACTTTTACGATCGACCCGACCTGTGCGTAATTCTGACATAGACATTTCACGAGGAAAAGTTTAATTGGCATACGTTGGTATACTTTGAGTGGCAATACGTTCGACACGGTCACTTTTTCGCTCGCCGACAACTCTCGGTCATTCCATATTCATGAGTGGAACGCACCGGACTCAACATCCACGTTTACGGTTTACATGCCGCTGTCATATTTCGACCCGCGTGAGAACACACGATAGTCACGCCGTGACCTTTGAGGATGTTATGACCTATCACGTAAAAACCGTGGGCTGCAACTCCATGCGCGTCAACCCGAAGTAGCCACTTCGCAGAGCCCCTCGATGGCCGAAGGAAACTTGCGCGGTCGGTAAAGTTTAATTGGCATACGTCGATATACTTCGAAGGGAAATCAGATTTCCGTCCGAAGCGAACTCGGGACTTTGCGGACTTATGTGACTCTTGAAATCGATATCTTGAAATATATGAATTATAACGAGGGAACGCAGCTGAGCCTGTAGTTATGCAAACCGAGAGTGTCCATTAGCAGTAAAGAAGTAAAGAACAAGAAAGAGAAAATAGCGTAACTGCAGACTGTTGTAAATTAACTGTATTTCCTTCCTCCAGAGTAAAGGAGAATTTAATACCGAAAGTGTCGCTCCTTGTGCAACAGGCACAATTTGTTATAGCACACGTAGAGACTGCTAGGATTATCTTTCAACCTTATGGGATAACAAAATAAGTATCACTCTTGTTCTAACCGACTCATTGTGTTCTAACGCAGCCGCGTGCGCGAGACAGACCATGGTACCTCCGCCCACTTCCACGGCCATGAATCATCTGTTAGTGGGCAAAAATGCCCTCGTAAGTGGAAAGAATCGGCCATTGAGTCTGCCGTCTGCCACTGCCACGTCGAAGTTACGACCGGCGGCCCTTCACAGCCCGAGAAGTCAAAGCCGCAGGGAGAGACAAGGTGTCACGCTTCACTGGAAAGACACGAAGAGGCCGAAACAAAGAGCCGGCGACGCTGGCGGTAAGTACGATTAAATATTAAACAAGTCGCTGGAAAATCGTTATAAAAACACCATTAAAAATATATCCGCAAAATGTTGTCGAAATGTCTAAAAATAATTTTTCAACAAAATAATGTCTGCTTCCTACAAAAGAGATATTTACGATATAAAATATGAAATGTACAAGACATTAAGAATATATACGTGTGTGCAAAGATTAAACAATTAACTCTTTTTAAAAAGATATATATGCACAATGAATATTGAAGATATTATAAGATTTAAGAGCACGTAATCTATTTAGTAATTGAATAAATTTAGTATTCCGCGCATTTATTTTTTCTCGAAAAACTTGACCGAAATTTATGAAAATCCACATCAAAGTGCACAGCAACAATAAGGATCGATATTTATAATAACTATTTGATCGATCCTGTGGTATGCCGATTACTATACTGACCTACCTATGGCAAGTGCATCGCGGCAGAGAGTAACGTAGAACCTTCATCCACCGATGGTAACTTTCGCGCCGTATTATAGCGTTTATCAAACGTCGGGACTTCGAGCTACCGCGAGAAATGCAATCAACCACCTGTTCCACGTTCGATACTAGCGAGCGCAAGTATTGACGCGCAGGTGTGGCGGATAGGGTCAACATCCGGTTTCACATCTTCCCTCGCGGAGTCGCCTCCCTATCGTAGGATTGTTTTCTGCGGAACGCGTTTTTAGGACTTAACACGGTCGCAACATTCTCAGAACGTTATCTCTTTATCAGCTAATGATTCCCACTATCGATAGCGTTAATTGTTATCTTAGTCTCTGAGATTGATCGTTAATTAATTAGAGGACCGTTCTATATAATCTGCCGATAACCTGTTTGATTAATATATCTTACTTTACTATTACAGATGCGGAGGCCTTCAGCAGCGCGTTTTTACAATCACCTCCTGAAACGTCCTCGGTGACGTCACCCAGCCGAGGTGCCGTCGATAGCGACAGTGACAGCACGTCGACGGAGCTGTGCGACGAGCCGGACCGCCTGAGTGACGTCGATAGCGAGGAGCTTACGTCAGCATCCGAGTCTTACGTCATGGATGACGAGAGGCATTCTCGTGTTGAGAGTTCGTCGACCTCGGGCAGCACACCTGTACGCTCATATGCGAAGGGCGAGCCGACCGCAACGACGATAACGACGACGACAACGACGACGACGACGACGACAACGATCGAGGAACCACGGATAGAGCCGGTTCTCGGGATCGAACGCAGCGACGAATCCCTAACTGAAATCTCAATCGCCAAGATCACCGATCAAATACGAAGGCTCTCAGCGGAAGATGACAATAATACGACGGTTCCTCAGATATTGAGCGCACGCGACAACGACGAGCTGTCAGTGGGCGATTTCTCGGTTCAGACATCACAGCCGAAGGAAACTGAATCGAAGTCACGGGATTCTATTGACTATACGTTCGGCGAGGACAAGACGAGATCGTCGTCGAAGACTGTCGCTAGTTACGATTACTTAAGCCTTAATTCTAATCTCGTCGAGGAGAAGACGGACGACAGTCTGACGCGCCGAACGGATCTTTTGAAGCACCTGGAAGAGAAAGAAAAAGCCGTTCGGGCTAACAGCGAAGACGGCACGAGCCTTAAGACGATTATCATGGAAAGTACCACGAGCATATTACTGGATAGTTCTAAAGTATTGGAACAACCGAGCATCTCTTTAGATAGGAATTACGATAAATTCATCACGAACTTAGACGTGGACGACAAGACCTCGGAATCCCCTTCAAGATTCTCTAACAAGGTTTATCTAACTTTAAAGAGCGATTTTGACTCGAGCGATATCACGAAGAGCGAGGACATTGCGAGCAGTAGAGCCTTAGATGTCACAGCGGAACGGCCGTTTTACACCCAGAGATACGTCGTAGGCCACCTACCGATCTCCCCGATAACGATCGATAGCAAACTGACGAAAATATCGCACGACGTGCATAACGTCGCGTTAAACCCAGAAGATCCAACGAGTTCCGAAGCGATTTCAAAGAGAGACACCTTTATTGGCGACAAGCAGCCGACAATACAGACAAAATCGTACTCCGACCTGAAGAAGAGCCCGAAGTCTCCGGAGAGCACCAAGTCCTTCAGCTCCGGAGAGACCATGGGTCCCGACTCGAAGCCCTCCAGCCTGACGGCGAGCCCGAAAACGCCGGTGAGATCGAACTCGCGCGACTTCGTGATAGACAAGTCGTCGGTCTGCTCGTCGATCAGCTCGGACTCCAAGACTTTGATCCTTCATTCCGTGGGCTCGGATCTCGTGCACGACAGCCCACGGCCGATCGTGAAGAAGACGTCCTATGAAAAGTCGAGTCCGTCGACTCCGATCAGTACGGATTCCTTGAAAAACAAGTCGGACGCCAGCCCGAAGTTGGTGATCAGCAGTTCCAGCGACTCGTGTAGCCCGAGCAAAGTCAAGTCTTCCGAGAAGTCGTTCAGTTCGGATCTGCAGTCGCCTGTGAGTGCCAACTCCATAAGGTACACCACGAGCTACAGTAAACGCGGCCAAGATAACGTGTCTTCGGACTCGCCGGCCGACCCGAGCACCTCGCCATTCTACCCCATCGCGAATCCTAATCAAAAGACACCGTCGCCGTACGGCATGGGCAAACGAAGATGCAGCGTGGATAGCGCTGACACGTCGCCCGATTTGAGATCGATCAGCTCAAAGGACTCGACCAAATTGTCGGGCTATCAGTCGAAACTGGATCCCACCGCGAAACCGATCGAGATGGCTAAGGAAAGCGTGGTCAGCGATGTAGTTTGCGAGAGGAGCGATCTGTTCGTTAGACCGCAATTCGGTCTGAGCTCAGAGCCGAGCGCACACGCTGAACTAAGTTACACAGCGAGGGAGAAGAGTAGAACCGAGCCGGGCCCTTACGAATCGATCGGCGGCGGCGAGTCGTATCACAAGTGCGGAGACTTCGCAGACGACAATGCGGACGATCCACTATCTGAGAAGGACGTGGTGCCTCAATTACCGCATGAAAAGCTTGACAAGCACTATCTGAATTACAATTACAGACGCAGAGATCGGTCGAGGTTGACCGAGAGGAGTTCCAGCAGTTTAGAAAGCAGATTCACGGATCTGAAGTCGTCCACCTCTGCCGACGAATTCAACACGACCATGGCAAAGAAGCGATCCAGCGACATCCTAGAGGATATGAAGCATTTGGAAGCGAAGGCCTTCAGCGACGGATCGCCCGATACGAATATGTTGTCGAAGAAGACAAGTGACATCTGGGAAGACATGAAGAATCTGGAAGCGAGACGGCAAGACACCTTCAGCAATTCAGCGAGCGGTTTTTCGAAACGGCGACTGGAGATACCGGATATCAATATAACGAGCGAAGGCAGGAAGTCTTACGTGGTGCATCCGAGAATTAACATCGACGAAAACAGCGACAGTATATTGAAGAGTATAACATGCAACAAGGACAACGGCGACTCAGATGACGGCAGGGAATCAAAGGTGGGCGTGTGGACGAAGGTAAAGCCGCGGAAGAAAGGCGACAACGGGCGCAGAAGTAGCGACAGGGCGTTGAAGATTATTCAGGAAAATTCAGCCATACTGCACAAGATTCTAGCTTGCCAAGCGAAGAAACGTCTGCCGGACCTCGAGGAGATATCGAAGGAGATCACCATCAGTCCGATAAACGAGGAGATCTCCAAGATATTCAGCCCGATCCTCGAGAAGATGGGTTTGAACGAGCACGAGATCAACGAGGAGCTGGCCAGAATCAATTTCAAGGACTTCGATAGCATGAGCGCGACCAGCGTGTCGGAGTTCGACGCTAAGATCAACGACGAGCTGTCGAAGCTCTCCCTCATCGACGACATGGAGCAAATCGATCACCTCGACGTGGACGAGGTCTACCTGGACACTCGGGAGGCGCTTATAGATCACAAGATAAACGAGGAGTTCTCCAAATTGCTGGCCAACTACGAAGAAGAGTCGCCGCCGAGTATGATCAACCTGGAGAAAGGCTCATCCAGCCAGAACATGAGCGAGATGGAGGGCCTCGATCTCACCAGCATCTCGACGAACGTGTTCTCCTACCAATCCTCCAACGACTCGATCGAAACTAGAAGCGACTTGGAATCCGCGCACGATACGGCCGCGATTCAGCCCGAGAGGTTTCCATACTCGACGTCGAAGGCGACGTACGAGCATGATATGTCGCCCAAGAGCGACATAGATATCTATAGGGAACTGGAGAAGCTCGACAAGATCTCATCCGTGCATATTTTGCCGGAAAGCCCCCTGAAAATACCACCGAAGCGACTGTCCCCGATCATGTACGACGCCGCGCCTTACCCGGAAGTACCGGCCACAACGAGATACGCGGTATCCAAAACAAGCCCGTTCGATACGTCGCCGTTGAAGAGCACTTACGAGCCTTACAAAAGCTTCGAGTTTGCGAGTAGGATATCGCCACGGGAGAATCCCTACACCGCTTACGAAAAGCCGGGCGACGCTGAACTCGAGTATACCGATCCCAAGCCGAAGATTTCCCTCGACACATACGACCTACACCCGAAGATACCGATATTGTCGAAGGAATCGTTGGAGTTTCGTGTGAGGTACGATGATGAGAAGCCGAGGCAGAGTAGTGGCGAGTACACGACGACTGTCCAGGACGGCAGATCGACGGTCTCCCTGAACACGACGACCTCGTATTACGGTAAGGATAACAACAAGGCGGTCACGCCGACGAAGTACGGTAGCAAAGAGGAAAAACGACTGGACATCGGCGAGTATTCCAGCGAGTACAAGTCGGACAGATCGGATCTGCTGCGTCACAAGTATGGCACCTTGTCCCCGAAGGAATACTCTCACGTTCGAAGCACGGATTACGACAAACCTTCGTGTGCGTTACCGAACGTGATGATGGAATCGGAGCCGGATATCGGTTCGTATCTACCGACGAGGCACCGCGACTACAACGCGTTGTCGTCCAATCGTCAATACCGAGATCAGTATTTCCCACCCAGCCCGAACCACTACACCTCGAAACTCTCCCCGGATCTGACGGAAGAGGTGAAGAGGCCTGCGGTCTTGCGTTCGGAATCACCGAGTAAAATCGTCGCCGGCAAGTACACGGATCTGGCCAGCAAGGGATCGAACTGTTACAAGAAGTCAACGTTGAGTCTCGGCAGCATAGAAAACGCGGAGAAGAGCGACGAGAACGCCGACAGCAGTCCGAGCCCGAAGGCGCACTTCAGTCCTTTCCCCGTTAGAAATAACTCTAGAAAGCCTAAAGAATTGACGCTGAAGTTGGGCCTCTATTCGCCGAAGAGTTCCGAGTACGGGCAACTGAAGAAGTCATAGTGCTCAGTGACTCGTCGAGACGGCCGAGCTCCCAATTTACTTCACGGAAATTCGCGCGCGAGTCGCATCGCCGTTGCGAAAGGGGACATTCGTATTCGTTAGTCAATCGTTTCGATAGATCCTTACACTTTAAGCGAAAGGGAGCGTCGTACACCGCGACGATGCGCGTTTCGGTGCGAGTCGATTTTCCGAATTTTAACAAAGTGGGCCTAAATCGTCGCCTAATCATTCCTAGATCGTGATTCTCTCGATACTGTTAGACAAATTAGGTGACGTAAGCTTAATTAAGTAGTAACGTAGATTTAAGACGACGATTAAATGAAATAGAGTTGTGAAAGTTTCTTTATCTTCTCAGTGCTCGGTCGCGCGAATAGTTACAGATTACTACGAATGATTTGCTTCTTCTTTTCTTCTTCGCCAAATGGCATGCGAGTTGGACTCTTTTCGGCGGAGATCTAATGCTACGTATAAATAAATAATGCAAAAAAAAAAGAAAACGAATATACAGATTGCATCGCGTAATGTAATCGCGATAAGTGCGAAATAATATATCTCCATGAATGCAATTAAATTTGGGAATATTGCTGAAATAATACGTCGTGCGTTGTTGACACGATTACGAAATGGCAAATCCCGGGCAAAGCAGATTAATGATAAATCCAATTTCCACATCCGGTCGCATGTATACCCGCTTTCTCTCACCTTTATTTCATCACTAAAGGACAACTCTGCGCACTTCACTGATATTCGAGTATTCGCGTTCATTCAGAGTGACGTTTAAACGAAGTTCGAGAAACTTCGCGCACACTTTACTCTAATGTTCTTATAACACTTGAAACTGTCGCATAAATATAATTGCTAAATTTACGATGAAATGCCTTCGAATCCCTCCAGTTGTCAACTATGCCAAAACTTTTCCTACTTGAGACGACTTCCAAACCTATTGCGATACCTGTCATAAACTAACGCTTAACTAAGAGTATCTTATGCAACGCCCTTCTCGCATCCTCTTAATTGTGCCATACTACAGCAGAGTATTGCGAGGCGATACATTGGAAATGAACGAAACTTCGCGACGAGCACCTGTGGTATGACAGAATTCTCCCGAGCGATATAAGCGATATAAGCGATATAAGAGAGAGAGAGAGAGAGAGAGAGACACGATGTAAATTGATAAAAATTGTCAGGATGGAGCTTAATTTTTTGATATATGTTTGCGCAAAACTGATCGTACGAATATACTTCTAAGCGAATTGTGCACTACAAATTAGATGGTAAAGGGAAGGCGTAAATTGTATATATATATAATCCTCCATCTATATTGTATTACATGTTACAAAGCAACTTTAAGGGGTCCTTCAGAATCTTTTTATATAAAATAAAAGTAGTATTTTTAGAGATGTTTCTAATAAGAAGTATACATACACTATATTGCAGTATTGAGAGCCGGCTTGCTTAAATGGGCAGCAGCTTAAGTGCGAATAGAAACAAGCCTGTTGCTACAATTTCGAGTCCTTGCTCACACGAACGGCTTCAATTCAAGATCACGAGACGAGGTAAATCGCGCATTAAGGGGACACGCATGGGACATTTTTCTATTTTATCGTAGCGATTCGAATGTTTCGCTGTCATCGAGATATTTAACCGATCGGTTTACAGCGTGCTTGAAAAAGTTAAGGGAACGCTTCAGTAACTCGCTTGTACAGTGTGCGGAAAGATCGCTGTATAGTTCATTCCTCATCACCTCATAATTTTTCACATCGATGTACTAAGAACCCGACGCAGTTTTACGGTTAGCCTACTAAAATATTTCCAAAGATCATTTGGAGAATATTTGCCCAATCATCTGTGATAGAATTTAGAGAACGAAAACACACGCGTGTTATGACTTGAGAACGCTGTAATACGACTCAAGCTATTGATTATTTCACGCATTGTTTCACCGACATATATAATTTAACGACAAATTAATTTCAAACATTGATTTCTTTCATATTGTATCTGAAAATGAGAGATGTAATAATGTTCTAAGATTTCAATTAAAATCTCCACCAACGATTATGCATACTTATATATGCTATAATTATACGCGTATTTTTAAAATCGGAAATTATTATTATTATTATCCGAGAAATCGTGTAATCTCGGAATTCACAATGTAGTTGTTGAATAATTTTCCAGGAAGATACGTCATCCTACCGAAGAAAAATTCAGCTCACTTTCCGCTCAACATTCTCCCTCACATCCATTTTACCTGATGACAACATTACACTTGTCAATTGCAAGCGTGCGACATATTATTGTGTAAGGAACTATCGATAAAGAAAGCAAACTTCCAGCGTATGCATATGACAAAATTTGCCGAAATTTTTTCTCACCCGACGGAGTTGAAACGGAGTTTCTCTTGCGTGATAATATCTTGCCTGATTTATTAACGAATACCACTGCACACGCGCAGGTGGCACCTGGTAAATATATTTTTACGCGCACGTTATATTACCCTCTTCAGAACGCATCACACACACCTTGGGACTTGAGCGCACAGAGAGAATACGGTATCAATTTTGTTCCGTTTGTCGCATTGAATTCAGGAAATACGGTTGCATTCAGGAAATCCGAAAGTAGTTTCAGATGCCTGTGAAATCCAGAAAGTATTCGCGAAGATGCTGAAACGGGGCGACTAAGCGTTTAAATACAAAAATATAGCCTGTACGATAAATAAGAAAATAGTTAATTGCTATATCGGATAAATTATAGTAGATAAAACCGCATCGTTGCGCACTGTTGCTAATGTTACACGAGTTGTTGGTGTCGCGTTCCGCGCTCCTTCATCATCATCCCGCGTCCGAGGAGATTAGGTTCACTTTGTTAAACGCTTAACCTGGGGGAATAAAACTGCTCGAGACAATATATGTGTGTGTATGCACTCTCTCGGTTCAGTTTCACGACGTTACTCAAGTTTCTCAGACGGGGGCATTTTTTCGATACTTCTCGAACGACGCCGTTATACGTTGCAATCTAGACAAATGAATAGCGTTTTTCTACCGGATCGAGACGGCGGGATCGATCGATCAGAACTCAAGGCAAGACGATGCGCATAACTCGGACGGAGATATCTAGCTAGTGGCGAGCGAGCGAAACGCAAATACTATCGATGGGCCCTCATTCAGATGGAAAAAGTGGTATATTTAAAGATTAAGAGCGTGTACGAAATTGTTACGTGACGTTTTGCGAAAGATTATTGTATATACGTGACGAATACGAGTCGTGCCAGATATAAGACTGTATATTTGAAACGCATATAGAATGGTAAGTCGTTATGGATAAAGAAACTGAATAAAATATATTGAGAAAGCGAAACGACCACGGCGTGTGCGTGTTAATTGTCACACCGGACACCACACGGAGGAAACAAATTTTACTAGAAGAGCAAATTGTTTATTAATATAGTGACAGCGAAAAAAAATTTGTTTGGATAACAAAAAAATCTGTTGGGACAACGGAAAAATTGGTTAAGAATATCAGTTTCTATTTGCTGGATATAGACAGTAAAATAATTTGGTTATGCCAATTAATATAAATTTTATTACAGTTGCAATGACGTTGTGCTACAACAGCAAAATCATTTTTTCCCTGTAACAAATCTTGCTGTCACTATATTAACAAACAATTTTCTGTTCCAGCAAAACTTATTTTCTCTGTGCGAGGAGATCGTCGAGGTCGCAACGATTGACTCTCACGAAGCGCGAGAAGAAACTTGCCCACGCGCTTGCACATAACGTTCTCTTAACGATATAAAATTCTCGAAGCCGTTTTTTGCAGCTGTTACTTCCGTACTCCGCCTTCGCGAAGAGGGTACCTCGATTAGCGGACATTTTCGATCCGGTGATAACGCCGCGCAATAATAATAACTTTTTGTATCCGCTTTTTGCGTTTATCCCTTGCGCTTTTATTTGAATGCGCAACGGAGCTCCGACGTTGGGGAAATCGATCGCACCATTATAGAGAACCCTGAAGAAGTCGCGTTCTATAAACGCACGATAACGACACTCCGCGTTCCCGCAAAAATAAAAGAACTAAAACAAAAATACACACTCTCTCGCATTGCCGCGCGTCGCGCGAAGGGCCTCGACGGTCCGATTACCGTTCGCAAAACTGCTCGCTCTCCCCGCAACGGCCGCGTACTCGTGCTCGAGTGGACATTTCATTTCGCTAACGTGATTACACGCACTCGTGCGTCGAGAATTGCGGATTCATTTTAATTGGGATTACATTTCAATTAAAATCTCGTCCCTATTAGAAGGCCGCGTCGAATTTCGGAGAGGAGAGAGAGGCAGAGCGCTGCGTGGGAGGAAGCGACGGCTAGGTCGGAACGATAAAGGAGAGAGAGAGAGAGAGAGAGCGAATAATTGATACGGGCAACGCGCGTTATCTGAACGGAAGAGCCGTCGTTGCCACGACCGCCGCCGCGAATAAAATATGCACGTTTGCCAATCAAGAGGTGTTCGGGGTTACATGTCTGCCGGCTCCCTCGGCAAACACGCGATTACGGAGGCTCCGGTGGGCTAAACGGGCAAGCAAACAACGAAACCTTTGACCCGCGGACCCGTCCAAATAATCGTCGAATCGGAAAGTACTCCGGCTCGCGATCTCATCGGGCGATTGAACAGGGCGATATTCGCCGGTGCGGAACACGTGGTTTCCTTCAGCAGTATCTACGTACGTACGTAGGCGACGGCGACGCCGGTGGTTGCCGCATAAATTAGTGCGTGAATTATGCAACACGGTCGTTTTATTAAAGGTTGATAAGCGTACTTTGTCGCCTCCGCGCCGCGTCGCGTCGAAACGCCCCGAGCGTCCGCCGGGACGTTTTACATTTTATTAGTACGAGCGAAGTTCGACGCGCGTTCGTGCGCACGCTATCGTGTTTTACATACGGCCCTCGTGTAAACCCGTCGTCGACGTCGTCTCTCGATTTTTCGCCCGGCATGCTCGCCCGGTCGCGTTTCATTTCCAATTTTCCAGATTTCCCTCGGTCTCTTCGGCAGTTTTCCTCCACGCGCCAACGGCGAACGGCTCGTTACTGCCGGCACGGCGCGACATACGCCCGACAATTTGTCCGTGCTCGACGATATTATCTAACCCGGCGATTTATCCGCTCGACAAACTGACAATCCGGCAATTTGGCCATCGCGCGAGATACGTACGCCGGCCGATTTGACGCGATCCTATCGGCCACTTCTATCGCCGTGTTTCCGTTTTTAACATCGCGCCCGGCCACGAGCGCTCAGGTACTACGATAATTCAAAATATCTGGGTTAAAATGTCCGATAACGCGTCGTTATTTATATTACACGAGCGCTGTTACGATAAATATTGTAATCCTGCCAAAAAGCTGTTGGTTCATATTTATCCAACGATACACGCGCAATATCGTGCATATTACATTCGTGAAATCGTACCCTAGTAAGGTCAAACGCGAAAGGTCAAATGCGATGTACGTTCGGAGAGAGAGAGAGAGAGAGAGAGAGAATTAGTGCGGCGGGCAAACCACGGGCAGCCACTTTAACGTCGAAGCCACGAGGAAAATCCATTCGATCGCGAAGAATCACGCATCGATGTCTCATTTGCATGAGCGTCCGTTCCGAATGGAACGTTCGTCGGAGCGCGGACGCGATATCGTCTTCGGACGACCGCAGGCAACTGTCATATTTCGCAGCAGCACGGCCAGCATGGCAATGACCGACAATTCTCGAGATTAATGCGCAACGTATCATTAGATTTCGAGAGGCTTCCGTCGGAGTCGGGCGAGGCCAAACCGCACCGGCGAATGGCAGGTAACCCTCGCAAGATGCATTCGCCGAGTGATGCATCTATTCGTAACTCGAACGCGCATATAGATACGTACATACGCGCGGTAATATGTACCCAACCCGTTATGGAAATGAGCTCGGTATGCGCGCGCATCCCGGCGACATCCTCCGCATCGGTAATATCCTGGCTCGCCACCCACACCATCCCCGTCGTCCCCCACGCTGCTCGCAACCCCCTGGACGGCTTCCGCCGCGCTTCTTGCTGTCGCATTATAGTGGCCGACAGTGCATCTTTGGTGTCGCTAAATCCGGACCCAAGAATCCTATCGCGGAATCGGAGTAGGACGCGGGCGCGTTTCTTGCCGTCCCCCTAGCTCCGTGGCCCCGAGGATAACGAGGATTTCAGGTCGCACTGTCGCTCCTGATTTAAGAGCCGGGCTACTGGTGTTTTCCTCTCTGCGACGATGTAACGTAAAAGTTCCGCGGGATCTCGAACTCGGGACATTAATCTCCCGCTCCTTTTCACCGGCCAGCCCCGGGCACGTCATCCTCGGCAACTCGAAATTTCGGTGGATTACGTAACCGCTGTGTTCGGAATTCGGTGATATCGATCGCGATTGCGGCCTCCCGTTTGTTTTCCGGTTCTTCGCCGCTTAGATAGCAGCGATAATTCCACCAACCATTTGATTTAATCTTGATATGATACGTGGCAGCGGAAATGTTAAATGATAAGAGAAGCCAAGGATAACCCTGTCAACCTATATTACGAATAATATTATCGAGAATATCATTTAGGGCCATTCAACAACAATTACGACACACCACGAGGGCGAGGGTCTATTAGCTTGCGTGACGGTCTGTGATGACGGAGGGGAGGGGAGTAGTAACGGCCTTGGAACGTCATATCAAATGATATTACTTGTAACCATAGACACAATATATCTAGACCGAATATTGAGGAATAGATGTTAAGGTACACGTAGAAAAGAATCCGCTCTGTTTTGTGATATACTATGCAAATATGCGAAAAAGAGAGAATGCTAAGAGCACAAAACAGAATGCATTTTTTACAATGCGCACTTCCCTTATTCCTCCAATTTTTTAATATTTATTCCTTTAAAAACATAACTTTTAGTAATCAAAATTATAAGATGAAGTAATCAATTTTATATTATGCTTAAAAATTATTTGTATATTTTAGAAAAAGATAGTAACGTGCAAAGTCTAATAATTATCGGTCCCAATACAGATACAAGCTATTTTGTCTTATTTTATATGGGAATGGGAAAAGGGATAATTTCACATGACACATAATATTGGAAGGGGGTTTACATATTTTGTGACGAAAAGGGAAGGGGAGTAGAAAATATTGTGTGTAGAAATTTCGTGTGACGTAATTGTTAAATAGCCCCTTATCGAGAATAAGTGGGTAGAGGAATTTGTCCACAGATAAAACGCCGGATATTATGTCGCGCGTATCTAGGTTATCTCGTTCTTCCGTTATTTATTCGCGTAACGCGTAAGAAGCTGGCAGATCTCCAATTACTTTGGTATTTCGTTCGAATTCCGACATCGCGCCGAAAATGTACATTCATTGCATCGGAGGTCGGATTAATATACATTAAAATGCGGACACATTAATCTCTCCGTTCTTCAGGCCATAAATTATAGCACCGCGCTCGGACAGCGTGCGGTGCGTTACGCTGTCTTATTATTTCTTGAAGGATAATTGCATGATTATAACAACCGTAAATGCTATTATCGTTCGAGGCGTTCTTACCATGTCGGAGGAGAAGCGGAAGCTACGGCGTCCTTTCAGCTCCCTCGTGAAAATACATAAGATCCGGTAATTCCCGCTCGTAATCGTTTTTAATTTTTCTATAAAATTGCAGCGACACGTACGGCAACTGTGTGCGGCCCTTATTACATCCAGCGAACGTTAATAATGTCGACCCGACCGATGTGCGCAAAAATAAAGAGAATTGGACACGCGCGACATTTTTCGGAGGAAATTTCGGTTCTGGGACGAAAAGCATAGTGATCTACATTTTAATGCGGTCCTAGGTGACGGAAGGAATACTGATGCAAAGATAATGGAAAAGTGCGGACGCATGCCCGTATATGAGTCATGCATCCGATCGAGTTTGCCGAACTAGTTTCCAAAAATTTTCCACGAAAAGCACGGTAGCATCCAAGCTAATATATCGACTCCGGACTGCGCGGTATGAAATATAAATCATACCGGGAACTGATTCCGCGAACCTGCGAAAGATGTACGGGAGTACTTTACACTTTTGAAATACGACGCTAGTTGATATAAGAAAATTTCCCGCATAAAATTCTAATGGAGGATCATCGTGAGCACGCCACAGAAGCCTGTTTAGAAGCTTATTAAAACCAGAAGTTTCTTGTTTTCCGACGCGATCGTTTTCTTCTTTCCCTTCCCGCAAGGGACGCATCTCGCGAAATTTTATATCCGACATCAAGAATGAACGAGAGTCGCTGTAATGTTTAGTTAAGAGGAGCACACTTGCATCTCG